TCTTCCACTGTGACATAATTTTTTTTAGGTATTCAATCCAAAAGAAATATTTTTTTTAATTTAAAATTCCACCCCCTTAAACAAATTATATATCAGGATTGCCGAAACTACAACAGCAGCCGCCGAAACTGAGCGTATGTCTCATCCAAAAAAACATAGAATAGATGGGCAATATGAAATTCGCAGAGAGCGCGAGGTGACGCGGCGCAGCCGATGAAACCGAGCACATATCCCATCCACGAAAACGAGATTTCTCAAAGGCATTACGAAGTTCGCGAGGTCTGCCAGTATAATACGAGTATACCTAATAATATATACCTACTTATTTGCCCAATATACCTATAGATAAAAATATCCAACTATCGAGTACAATAATTTACAGGGATTCGTAAACGAGCCGAATCTCCTATAGGTAAGTGGCGCTATAGGTAGGTATGTTATGCATTTTAGTTATGTACAAGTAATTTGCGAAGTAGGTATGTACATACAACATAATTTCATAATTTGATCTGTTTTTACAAATATTTAGAATTTCTGATGATTGATATTTTTCTAGCACAACCTTATACCCCAATTTAGGTTTAATTACCTATACTTACCTATATTTATATTTACCTAGCTAAGAACTAAGGGCATGCGATGTTGCAATACATTGTTCAGTGGGTAAACAGCGTATCTAAGTAGGTATATGCAGGACACTTAGATTACCTGTATAGGTAGGTATCAAAAAATACCTATTTATTTATTTAATCGTATATCCATCATTTCTAATTTTCAGAACTGAATTTGGGAGATTCCAGTTATGGAAGTCTCTACTAAATTTTGTTTGCACAGGCGCATTCTTAACATGCAACTGCACAGCGAACGCGTCAAAATATATACCCGCTATTTAACAAAAATGTGCACGTACGAAAATAAGAAGTGTTACTTCGTTATTGAGCAGAGTAAAATATTGATCTACACAAATGTGGTCGGAATTAATTAAAGGAACGACCACATATTTCCTTTCATAACACGAGAGATACTCGTCACAACAAAATTACAAAAAAGGAAATGGAATGTTTGCATTCAGAAAACTTACAATGATGGCAGTCGATACTATGCATGTAATAAAAAATGAATGGAAATGAAATACTTTTCCTTATCTCGTGTGTGAGTAGATAACGGCGATCCTAGAAAAAATGCGCATCATCAGGTGTGTATCTTCAGATTGTAATATATACCTACCTACCATATTAACATGATTCCAAAATTTGTACCTATGTATTGATGTTCCTGCATTTCTTTAAAATACAAGCCACACAAAAATATAGAAATATTTGAACTTCGCTTGTCTCATCCAAGAAAACTCTAATCAATACCACACACTGCCGCCACCAACGAGATGTAGCTGTCTTAAAACGTTGCGACTCGATTCAATTCAGTAATATATTTTTAATATTCCACCATCGACAAAGGTTGCGTAGTAGGTACCTAAATATTTCATCGTTCCTCTCGATTTTCATATTAACAATTTAATGATTAACAAAACAAACTTCAAATACTAAATCCTTGTTATAAAATGGAATAAAAGTTAAGCTTTATTTATATTACCTATGTCCCTATAATATAAATTGTACAATATAAGTATAGCGTGATTACCGAACATTTACATAAATCTGTATAATACTCAAGTTCCTGCCACTTAGTTTTATTTAGTAGTCGTTACCATAATGGGATCGTTTTGGTAGTGATCTAACTATAACCACCATCGCAACTTTTCTGAAATTTCTATAAGACGTATAGGTAGATATATATGTACATATTGCCCATTATTTTCAATTAATTACTCCAACCTGTAGGGTGAAATGCATGTACCTATAGGTAGGTATATACAGACTCATCTCTTTAAATATAAATGCTTGCCTTGTGCTTTCCCTCCGTACTTCTCAAATGGGATACGCTGGTAATGAGCTTGTCTGTGACGTCATTGTGGTAATGCGTCTGGCTGTAAGGGGCTGTCAGTCATTGATATCGTGTAGTTGTGTTTTCGTCATTGTAGGTAGTTTACCTAGGTCAAGACTATATATGCAGTCATTGACATGATGCGTATCGTAATATAAATAGGTAGATTTTTCTTTTTAAAAAATTCACGCGGAAGATAGATGTATCAAATTTATTGAATGTTTACCCATTTGGAAAAAGCATCAGAGAAATGAAGATTTTTATATTTATCCATAGGTGCCTATACAGGTGCATACGTTATTATTTTTATTCATGAAACGTTCGTACTTGAACACTTTCCACCAATTGTACAATTGTGGTAGGTCATAACGTTTATAGGTAAACACATAGATATTCGGAAGTAATAAGTCAACTGTGTAGTCATTATTAATATTCCGGCAGAGATTGATGAGCACAATGGAACTGCCGGATTTCCAGTAGTGTGCGTTTCCAGAAAATATCCTATTAATTTTGTGGCTGCTTTATGACCAATAAAAATTATAAGATGCACGTGTCAAAGGTGTTTATTATAAGCATCAATTGAATGAATACTGATGCTTTTAATTTCCTTTTACTCTCTCAGCTACCTATATTGAATCTTGACATTTTTGCGAATGCAGACTCTCGATGTCAGTGTGTGACATGCTACACACCTATCTAAGTATGCATGTTATTAATAAAATTCCTCTATGGCGGTTTCTAGTGTGATATAAGTCGAGTATTACGAGGACGTAAACTGAAGTAAAGCATGTTAACAGTCAGAGAACACATTCAAAGTGTCACATTTATCTATCATCAAGGATATTTTCGTTTTGGTATATAAAGTTGTATTTCGTAGTAGGTGTAATTTAAAACGCATACCTAGTGCAATTTTTAAGTTTTATGATGAGCATCATCTTGTAATGCCACAACTTAATAAAGATGCGAGGTTGTGTTCAATTACTATAACTTAATCAATTTTTATTTCTTCCCCTTTAATGGTTTCAATAAACCACAATATACTATTACATATCATAATGATTCAACAGTAGGTATCTAATTGACGGCGTCCCAACGATTAATAAAATTGTGTTTATAGCATGTAATCGCTTAATAGAATTTAGTAAAATATCCAGTAGTTTAATAAATAAACTTTATTGACTGTTTCCTAAATGATAGATACATAACAACTAAAAAAAACTATTACAACTTTATCATGCTCATTGTATTTTATAACAAAGTCAGTTTTGGGATGCTATTAAATTACACGTAGTAAAAGGATTATTTTATTACAAGATAGGCAGTAAAACTATAATAAAGTGCGCTGTAAACACGGTTTTAAATCAAGGGTCACGCGAATTTATGTCTTTTTATGATATATGACTGTTTAAAGATGTTCACTTAATTACGTTGTATACATTTTTAACTTTTTCCGCTTTTTAACTGAAGGTGAGAAATTTAGAATGAGACATTAACTTTATTGTGGTACCTTATGTTCTTGTAAATTAAGGAATCGCTTGCATCGTAACGTTTTACACTTGATGTGTGTGTAGGTAAGATAATTTGAAGTTTGAACTTAAGGTATAACTTTCATTCCCTTTAATAAAGCAGAGCCGCCTGCGTTTCCTTTAAAGAGTATGTAAGTACCTAAGTGCTATCTATATTTTTTTAGTTTCCTACTACCTTAAAAAAGTTCACTAAATAAATTTATTAAGTAACACTTTGCTTACCTAAGCGCTATTGAATACCTATAGCTTTCTTAATATGAAATAAGTAGAATTTTACCTAAGTAGGTATAATTATTTTTGCACGTAGCCACAGAGTACCTATAGGTAGGTACGTCTATACTGTATAAATTTGCGTGGTGGTAGGTTTCATATGCACATTTCATCAGGGTTTAGTGTAATTTAAATTGGGTGGATGTTAATGTAAAAATGGCGGGACCTACCTAGATTTTGTGGCATATCTTGTAATTTTGTAGAAATACTTCTTCGCGAATAAACTTTGGTGGGACTTTAAAAGAATTAATTCTACCGCAATTTCCTTCTTTTGTTTTACATCGTCCCGTTGTAGGGATAGCATCTCGCATCTAAATTGTATGACATCCAGGAGAGATTCCCAGCAGCCTCAACAGTTCAGCGGGAGATTTCAACATGGCTGCGACCCCACCCGTTGTTGCTATAGTAACAGGGGGCGCCCAATCAGGGTGTAGGGGGCACCATTATTTGACGGTTGCCCTCTTGTCCCTCGGACTCCGACGTTAGAGGAAATCCTGCAGCTGCAGCATGAATATCAACTCCGCTGTATGCACATGCGTTTGGCTGCATAACACCTCGAACAAATCGATATTTTTATCCACCGTTCCTACCTACGCCTCGTGTGACGTGTACCTACTAATTAGCCACTTTTTTCTTAATTCAAACACGCCGAGGCGACCATCTATTGAATTTTTTTGTAATTTGCCACAACATATTTCTGTTTGTTAAGGTTTGCAACTCCACTGTACCAAAAATATTTAAATCTATCCTTACAAATAGTTTTTGCATCAATTAAACAGTTTACACCGCACCCCTTCAATTTATACCAAAACTGACGACTTCAAAGAGACATTTCACATTGCCCGAAAGTTAAGATGTAAAAATGCTATAAAAAGAAAAGTTTCTGAGCTGTTACGGCTTAGGGCGAGTAAGCGATTAGGTGAAACATAAATTTCGAAGAATAAGACAAATACTGTTTGAAATGCAAAAAACAACAATTATGCTCCAAATTGAATTGAAGTACCTAACTGATGGAGTTACTATGAAACTTATTCAGTGATATTTTTAGTGCAAAAGTCAATCCTACTATTACTGATGATGTTATTGCCTTTATATCTACATTTTTTCTGTATGTAATCACGGAGAATAAATACCTATAGGTAATTTCGAGCATTATTTATTCTCCATGGCCAAATGCTTCCACTTCTAGGTCTAATTAAAACAAGTTGCTTAATATATTTATTTGAATAGTAATAAGTGCATATAACATAGGTAGGTAGGTACATACAGGAGTATAAATTAACAATTTAATCGGTTTTACAATTATATTTCTGCAGCTGAATCAAGACGAAGAAGATGCGTCCAGAAGGTCCAGCGGTGAAAAGTGTGGCCTCCTGTTACGTATACTGAAGGTATACCGGACAGAAGACACTCAGGATACATTCAGTATACGTACAGGGGGTTTACATTCTGTCTTCAAAGTGATCCTATCGAGCAGAAGAGACACCTAATCTATAAATTAGAATAACAACTAAGTATGGTATTAAACATAAACATGTGCTGTTTACTATAAGATTAGGGTAGGGTATATAGGTGCGAAAAATACAGAAATATTCCACATAACTAATCCCTCAGTGGCAATATTTGAAAGTAGAGGGTTTACTGAGAGTTCCCAGGTGAACACTTTCCTATAGCTCGCAGCCATGTTTCCTTACGAAAGTACTCGTGGGGTTACTAAATTTTACCTGCTTTTTGTACATCCTTACCCAATACCGATAGATTTAAAGGGGTGCTAAACCCAGGGGAAATTGCAGTTACTTAGACTGTGCTTTAATGCAATATACATCATTTACAAAATAAAGCTCTAAGATTCTCAAGACGCGATACATTTAAAGTTAAATTTATGGGCTGTCACTTTAAGGTTCTATATAAATGGAATGCTGAAGCGTTTTGTAGAATCTCAAAGCGAACCCTGCACATTTTATGATGATTGATCAAAGCACTTTTCTAATTTAGTACCGCACAAGTACCTTCGTTTACTGCACTAATCGCTATTGCGTACGGTAATTAAAGTTATGTAAAAATAATTCATGCTCACCAACATACGCGAATTTAACGTCCCGTATATCATTTTAGACTTTTAGAATGTTGTCTAGAAGAAGTCTGCAACTAAAAAATATTCAAGTCATTAATTCGAAGACGTGTTTGTTTCACTTACCTGTCAAGTATGAATAACAAGTTGAGGTGTGCTATGTGATTCTGTTAGGAAGGTAGAACTGCTACTAACTTAAAGGACGTCTGTTGACGGTATGTTGATCTCACGTCGCGGCGTTCAACTGTAGACGTCGACGCCGACGCAATTCGAAGGGTAGCTTCCCCGCGACTCTGTGGGCAGGATTTACTATTTTATGTCCTATATTGAATAGAGACTGTGACAGGCTGGGTGTGGTGGATGCAACCTGAAGACCGCTGAAATAGGAGATTCAAAATGCTCTTTACTAGTCTGTTTATTCTATACAATCATATTCTAAGATTGTCTACATAAACTTTAAGTTATATGGATATACCTACATGCACGCAGATAAAATGTCAGAAGGTATACATCGTTTACGATAAATTTTGGGGATATCCGCCGAAGCAGTCACCTTCTGTATCGGATTCACATGGATAGATTAAACATTACTGCATGCTGCATAGAGGAGGATCTTGCATCCTATTTTCCATTTAAAAAGGGCGTGGTTGGCTAAAAAATTCAAATATATGAAAAGTATGCATTACTGTATGAAATGTAAAAAAAATTCATTCGTAAGTAAGCAATTTTTAAATCCCGAATCTCAATTAAGACAATTAAGGGATCGTGTAGCTGATAGGTACTGGTAATGTACAATAAATTTGCATAAATAAAATACACAGTAACCTTGATTTTTTTACCTATAAATATTAATGCTTGTTTTTCACCTGTTTGAAATTTGATTTGTCTGTTTTTTGTGGATCATAAATCTTCTAATGTAAAAATCGTTCTTTCAAAGGGAATTGGTGAATTATATACATACCCATTATGCTCTTATTATCGATTTTGGTGATTTTACAACAAAGCTGCTTTTCTATGCGTGTACCTCGAGGCATATTTTGAATCCGTCGGGCCGCGGGCGCGGAATAATTGTGCGTAGAGAACTTCACCACACTAGCGTCACGCAACATACTACCGTGTCACCAACTTTGTAAGTAGATATTTCAGCTGTCACGGTCCATCCTCGTCAAGCCCGGCCCACCACCTAAAAAAAGTCAGATGAATATCATGATAAAAGCCATGACGTTTGCATCATTGTAGAGTAGCTAGTTTATCGTCTAACCGGTATGTTTAATGTCTGCAAATAATGGGGAAGCCTGCACGTTTGTTGTACCAAGGTGCTTACCACAGTTACATGAACGGCCCTTTAAAGTTTGCAGTTTATAGAGCGTGGTAAACATTCGCGTTATACGATGCTCCTATTCCGTCGCTAGTTGTGATCCTCAGATTGTCTGTATTAATGCAATTTTATGAGCAAAAGGATATCTATTCGTTTTGTGAAGTTGTCACCCTTTGACTAACAAAACAGTGTACATCTGTTATACGATATGTACGTACCTACCTAATGCGACATAATATAACTCTAAACAATTAAACATTTGTCCGGTGTTGGACAGACACAAGATATCTTGACCTAACCTCTTAAGTACTTACAGTCCTACATTATAAATTGTATATAAAAATCAAAACCTTGGCGAGGCACCCGCAGCTCGTTAGTAACTCTAGTAGAGAAAATTATTAAATCATGCCAATCTTCTACAATATACCTAAAATATGAACCTTACAGCAACCTTTGGATGACGGACGGTGTTAGTGGATACCATTACTTTATACCTATACTTAGGATTTAAATCACTGTCATAATCTGCATCTCGTGACGTTACTTATAGTTTTACCACAAATTGTATTTTAGAAATCGAAATTAAATGCCTACAAATGCTACCTATCAATTACGCGAAAGTTGTCCAAATTTGACTTCGTATCGGCTTACACAGTCGGCTTAGAAAAATGTAGCTATACTTACGTACAATTGAGGCAAATGATTGCATTTCTGCTATTGATGTTATGAACACAGTTTGCTCGCGTCGCATCAGTGCATATTCTCGTGTTATGACCTCAATTCACGGAAAGATAAATTGTTGTCGTCTACCCACTTATGTGTCTGTGAGTGCGTATGTCCAGAATTCTTTCTTCATTATCTATCGCATGAATCGATTTGAATAAAGTTTTCGATTGAATGCGTCAACCCTATTAATTTTGGTTGCGATTGGATAAGTAGCTACCTAGTTTTTGAATAAACGAAAGAGGAAAATTGAAATCGAAAATCCTGCTTAACCAAAACGGTAGGAAGTTAGAAAAAAACGCACATTCTGTATTCAATATGACATTTTTTCGATATTTCGTACCGTTTTTGAGCGCAACGATATTTAAGAAATATTGCCATAGCTAGTGATACCTAGTTGTTTCAAAAACGGTATAACTATGTTATTGTCACTTCTATTACCTACAGTAACTAACAAAGAAGTAAGTACCTACTAGGTGCTTTCAGGCAGATTTTTTCAGTCCCTGTCTATATATAGTACCTACCGATAGTCATCGTAATGTGTAAGTATACAGGACAATGGAATCTTCTGCAGCTTGTATATTGGAATTACATTTTACGCATTAACACACATGCAGCAAATAATAAGCTGCTCTCTATCCCGCATACCTACTTTTACTTAGGCCCGAAACAATACGGTAGGTAATGCTTTATTACCAGTTACCAGTATATTATACCAATGCAGCGTGTATTCTATCCTGAATACCAAGCGAGCCATAGGACGAGCCCGACGAGTTTTTTAAGTAAATATCTTATAGGTACATATTTATAGATCCATCATGCAGGATGACCCATTATTTCCAAATATGATGTCAAAGATATAATATGCCGTTTTGGAGGATCATCAATGTTAAAATAATATAACAAGGTGTTACAATGTAACGTGAAAGTTACATTTAACACGTAAAAACGTAAAGTTAATAGAGGTATAGCCAAATGAAAGTACAAATCGTTTTCACTATTTACAACCTCATAGTTAATACAATTTCGCGATCTTACCCTGTTTGGTATATAGGTACCTACTTATTTATGCTGAAAATCTGAAATGAATCCGCGAGGTTGAGGGTGGAGATTTATTTGTGCGGCTGTTGTCAATAGGGTAGATGAAAAATTTTTTTAAACCACTTATAACTGTTCGTATACCTCTACTATAACTTTAAAATATGATATTTCAGCAAAATAAATCATATTATTGCAAATTTATGCAATTTAAATTGTAGATTTTTATTGTAGCGCCAAAACGCTGTTTTGTGTCATGGCGGTGGCGGTGTCTGTGACGTCACAGTCCTGACAATTATAAACACATAACCCCAGCGTAAATAGTTTAAAAGATTTCGTGATGAATCATAACTACTATAAGTGGTGCCCTACCATGGGGTACACCTTGTCGTGGTGGTAGGGCTCTCTAGTCACATTTTTCTATGGCACAGCTAAGTATACCAGGCGGGTAAATCTGGTTACAAGGATGCTGTATCATTCAAATGCTTCATGGAGTAGAGAAATCCAAAAGGGTTCTCGACGACTGCTCATTAAACGTAATATAGAAACCTATATTGACATGAGCAGCACATGTTTCACGTACATTAACTCCCGAGGCGTGCGGTAGACGACAATTTGGACAACTTCCGAATCCGATTCAGCCATTTGCCGATAGGGTTTCGAATAATCGGACTAGATGGGTAAGAAGGAAGCATGGGGAAACCAACTATTTTGTCACGCAATTTCTAACAGGGCATGGAGAAAATGGGGTGTATCTGAAAAGAATAAGAAAGATGGACAGTGATGCCTGCACAGACTGTGGTGCTGTGGATGATGCAGGACACGGAGTGTTAAAGTGCCCAAGGTGGGAAGCCGAGAGATACCGCGTCGCTATTAGAGTAGGAGAAGTAATAGAAAAGGGTAACATAATCGAAACAATGCTGGAAAGTGCAGAGGAATGGAGACCCCTCTGGAAGAATGCTTGAGCGATGCCCGGAGGCGGATATTTTGGAGATTAAGGGATAAGGGGTTTTAGTGGGTGTGAGCCCCACACTACCGTTGCGAACAGACGGTGTGTGGTAAAAAAAAGATCATGACTTGTTAAACGTGATAAAAGAGACTTGATGGTAGGGCAAAGAAAATAATTGTTTTCTTCGTCGACAACTAAGGAAACTGCATACAGCTTTGCGTGAACCGTATGTTGCGGGCAAATTTTGACTTAACTGTGAATAAGTTGCCATCACGCTTAAGAGTCTTCTGTTCGACTGCACCCAATGTAAGGTTCCATAAGAACGCCCGCTATAGGAACTGTTTTTCCAAAAAAAGGTGTTTTAAGAACTACTTTAAAATTTAGATCTTTATCTACAAAATGTTCGTAATGTAAAAAAGTTGCGCTTACGTAGACGTACAGAAAACTCTTAAAGTGGACATAGCTTACTAAATCATCTCCATATGATAGCTTCGATGACCTAAAAACAAAGCATCTTATATCACAGTTTTGATACGGTTCTGTGCAACGTCTCCCTGTCTACACTGATACGATACGGGGATACGATACGAGGATACGCAACAAATCTGGACCGGTCTTGTACACATTCTTCTAAATAACTCATTTCTTGTAATAAGCTTAACTTAAAAACCTACAAGACTTATATGGCAGTTTTCTGATGAGCAAAAATCTTTCTGTTTGATGCAAGAAATATTCCCAACATCATTACATCATTTTTTGGCAGATTTGATGCTATCAGCTTTCGTATACCCACTTTCCATTCCTATCTGGTTTTAAAAACTAAACTTTAGGATAATATGATCACCATAAAATGGAACAAGCACTAAATTAAAAAACGTGGACAAACTATATCAACGCACAGAGGATTAGGATAGTGACGTCACGCGCTCTGATTGGCGTTTGATATCACGTGACAAATGTCGTTATTTTTTAATTTTATTTTTACTAAAATATAATAGTTTCTCTTGTACATTACCAAAGAAAGTTATTTTGCGATACCCTGGTACCTTACTCTATCTTATGAAACAAACATTTATTTATTCTTTTTCCACTGTCATGTAGCCTATTTGAACTCAATTGAGATAATTAGTTTAATCCCTTGATTGTTAACGAAGACGAATTCTTGTGCAATGCAATATTTTTTCTCTACTATAAAGCAGTATAGATTAGATAAAACTTTGAATGGAATCTTAAGGTAAATTAAATGCTTATTTTATTCATTTAGTCGTTGCCAGCATATACGTCCAATTAATATGTAGGTAGGTACCGGATGTGTCGTATCATAATTATATGTTTTTATATCTTTATCTTTATTTGTTACTCTATGCCAATTCCAAACGACGAAATATGCAACAACAAAAAATTTTAATTTTATTTATTGCTATTGTAAATTTTTTTAAATATCTAACGATGTGTTTTTGACTGTTTAGGCCGTCAATACCACGTAGAACAAAATGTGGAATGCAAGGATTCAAGTGGATTAAACCTCAGTTGCAAGCTGTATAGAAGGGAATCAATCTAGATACCGCACGCTGCAGAAGAGCAATGAAGATACCTAATTTATAAACAAATTGCACAAAAGCATTCAGGATACATATACTAGACATTCGTATATTGACAGAACTACAGAAGATAAAAGCAGTCATGGACAAATTAAAAACGCGCCGAGTGGAGTAAAAATATGCTCAAATGTACGTTGATGGAAAAATATACACATCGCCCAAAATTTAAGTTCGCTATACCAGTATAATATATATAAAAAATATATGGACACCTTTGGTATAAGATTTGTCAAAATGCGCAAACCCCGCATTTACCTACATTTTTGTATCGCAATCACTATTCTAGATAACATAAGAATAGATTAAATTATTACTAGTGTTTTGTTGACATTCGTGGTTTTTGTTAAATAAGCGAATCGCACTGACCAAACCAAATCTGAAACTTCGTAAATCCGGTTACCTAGATAACTAGCCAAGAAGACCAAAACCTTCCTTTGCATGGGAGGCACTTGACTAAAAATCTTCTTTCATTTTTTTACCTAGGATAGATGGATAGATAGATTCTTCTGACATCGTTTCTCGGGACACAGACCAGAAAAAAATGTGAAGCTTAGCCAGAAGCAAATGATGAAAATACTGTAGATCACATGGTGGAAGAGATAAATAAACTGAGAGTTTCCCATTTCGACCCGAAACTGATTTTTGAAAAATTGGATAGTACCTAATATATTTCCGCCTTGTCAACGGCCCTATATTATTTTAGATTCAGTTACATTTCCAGGAGTGCCATGTTTCGAATTGTGTAAAATAAAGAAGCGCACCTTTAATGCAAAACTTAAATAAATATGCTTTTTCTATCATTATTGGAAATACGAGTATAATAACGAAAATTTATGGGTAGGTATTAGCTAAATGTCTAACAAAATATTCCGTACTTATTGAATTTCAACGATAGGTACTAAACCTATAGAATATCTATTTCAATTCATTTTATTTAAATAAGTTCTAAAGATACAGTTAAGTATATAGTATCAAATTACATAAATGTTTTCAATTAATATTCAATAAACTATATACGCTGCATAATGCCATCAACGATTCACAAACGATAGGTAGGTAGTAAGAAAATCGCACTATCCAGTGTTTTTGAATCGATAAAAGCGGTGAACGCAAACTGCGTATATCGTGCCCCTGCAATCTTAAAACGGCGAGATGATATCATGGCCTTGTTTTGCTTGCCTTTACTAACAGAACCCATTTCGGAATTAACGAGGAATACTAATGGCGAGGTATCCTATCTGATCGTGAGCAAATCTGGGATAGCGAATACATATAGGTAGGTACAAGTCCTAAAACAAACATTAAGCTTTTGATATGAAATTCTGCTTGTTACACTTTCCGGAATTAGTTTTCACGGGACGCGTTGGTCAAGGTAATTTTAATAACAATGCGTGATACCTTCGAATTTAACTTGTCCTTTTGGATTAAACTCATAGTTCCATTTTTATTCATAGCCAGAAACAATGGCTTCTATAAATTTCCGGATGATGGCTGTGGTAAACAAAATAAATGGGCTCCTATTACTCAGAAATTGCAGTTCAATGAATCAACAGTTAATTAATATTACACAAGGCTATCTGGATCCCATTCATTCTGGATTCTTAACTTTGCATTGCCCCCTCTTTAACACCTAGTGGTTTGTAGAGATTTTCTTTCATGCGTAATCGTGTGTTACCTAATGAATGGCAACGATGTATTTGTAGGTTGGAGAAATTGTCACATGAAAAGAGTTAAAAATTTTATTTACCACAAATAGAAGCAACAATAAAATTTAAAAAATGCCTTTTTAATTTGTGATAAATGCAAAGTATAACAATAAATTAAATTTCGCAGTAAACCATTCCATTCATAAAATATACCATTTCAGGTCCCGTTCCATTTCATTTTGAAAATGCCGCAAATCCACGCTGCGGCTTCGAAACATAAATAATTTGTTTCCGGTTACATGAATTAATGAACTATTACACCTAAATAAAAACGTCTATTAATCACATTTTATTATACCCATAGTTCTTTATTTACCTCACTTAGATTTAATTACATAAATTAGGTATTAAAAAAAGATGAATTTATATTATTTATAGCATTTACTTAATCATTAATTTAGTTTTTTGAAGAGGGTTTTTTAGGAATACCGTCTATTCAAATGAGAACAGTGCTACGCGACCACTATTTATAATCTGACCTATATAGCTTGCGCATACTCCCCAAGATAAAGTAAGTATAAAGCGCACTAAAATGTAAATTTGGAGGGATATGCTGCAAAATTTTTGTTATGTTGAAAATGCACAGAGGCTACATGACTCTTCGCGTTAGTGCCTACTAGGCTCAATAATGAATTTTACGAAGTCCTATTTCATTTCAAGATAGTATGTATAGAAGTCCCAACGAAACGAGGCACCGACCGGCGCAAGAATCGGATGGAAATAAAATAAAAGATCAAAACAATAATAATATATTATAAGGTAGAGAAGGTTAGTATTTCTTGCCTGGGTAACCAGATGTAAAGTGCGAAGGCAATAATAAACTTCTCTGCCGTGGTAAATACATTATTTTTTCACTACTAGTGCTTGAAGTCTTCTAAATTAGCATAAATTATATTGTTAAGAAAAAAACGGTTTGACATAATTGCTGGTTTATTAAATTCAACATATCATAAGAGCGTTACCTTGCAAGTGAAGAAAAGGTTAATAATCATGTCATCATAGGCTAGTATAGTGAAAAATAGATATTTGTACCATTAGAGAAGAAAGTGGAGTTTTTCAACTTGAGTTCAAAGTTTCACACATGAGCGTAGCGAGTGTATCAATAACGAGAGTTGAAAAACACTTTCTTCTCAAGTTTACACATATTTTTTTCTGAAACTACCGCGTGCGAACTAAAATTATAAGATAAGTTGCATGAGTTTCCACGAAAACCTACAGGGAATTCCTCTAGACAAAATTGACTGAAGGTACAAATTGTTGCGTGCACTTTGAACACGCGTAACAAAATTACCTTTAGTTGACCACGGTAAGCACAGGCAATGTAGATGGGTCGGGGTGGTTAATGGGTTCTCTTCTACGGCTAGTCAAAACAAAGCAAAAATAGATAAGTAAACCGGATGGACGCCACTTAGTCTTATGGTAAATTGAAAAAGAAAGAAAATACTTACTGAAGAGGAGCAAGATAGACTAAGAGATCCTTGTTCAGGTCTTGCTACAGCTGAAAGAACCAAAAATTATAGTCATTGGACTGGTCAAAATCTATATGTCAATTTAATACAAATGATACGAAATGTAAGACTGTATACTCGATAACAAATTTAAATTCAATCTAATTTCTCAAAAGAAGCAACTCGCAGTCAAAAAGATAAATATATGTCGAAATCGGCTTTCACAACAACTAACGCTAATGACTAAGTGACCAAATAAAAATAATACCTACTTGGCTGTATCGAAAGTCAGGTATAACGGCAATTCACAAAAATAGTCGTTAACGTTATCTAAGAAAACTGCTTTACAAAGCAAAATAACTAAGTTTACAAAAATAACGTAGGTAATTTATCGGTGTCGGAACGATAAAATCGTAAAGCGTACCTATCGAAGCAATTCAATGGTTACCAATAATATTCCAAAAGGATATCGGTAATACTTGCAGTTAAAACAAGAACATTAAGTAAATCTTCGGGTTTAGTAATTTCTAAGTAGATCGCATAATGTCTTATCTTATAAGATGACTATGTCAAGTACCAGTGGCATCAAATTCTGGGTAAAATGTTGAGTAAATTGGCGTATAATCGACTTACAAGGCAACAAATAACGAACGCTCTTCTACAGATACAGCTTATGCGCAATCTAAAAAGATCAAGGAAAGGAAACCGACCAATAATGTTGTGGGACAGAAAGATACTTCGCGACCTCTAGTAATAGAACAATGAACTACGAACCTATACCAATAAATATAAACTAATTTCTAGAGAAAATATACAGATGTAATGGGTATTAAATGAATCTTAAATATCGTAAATGTTAAATGGAAAGAAAAAACGTTAACAATGTAGGTAGCAACCATATTTCCCATAGGAACTTGGGCAGCGCAACTGGCATCCATCAGATGTTCAGAAATGGGCGATAAAGAACATGACCACACTGCAGTCTTTGCTTTGAAAGCTTTCTTTTAAGCGAAATATTTTCCCATTGTTTAAAGATCGGTGAACGTTGTGCCCTTCTGACAAAGTTACGGGCCGATCAGCCCCCTGTCTGCTGCAGCAAAGATCTTTGAGGCGATTCTGTTTCATTTGCAAGGAAAGCTGCTCTATGACTACAGCCTTTACCATAAGTTAAGCTCCAATGCACTGGACAACATCACCTTCCAGTGTCAAGACACCGATCCACTTGAAAGAAATCATCGGCATTTGACTTTGTAGAGCCATTCGAGAGGACGTGGAACCAGAAAGTTCTACATACTTTACATCGAAATGGTGTCTTGGAAGATTTTGTCGGCGTAAGGGGCCTCGAGATTAAACTGTCGAAGTGGAGACCTAAAATGGTACCCGTCATCGTATACCGCAAGGATTCGTACTCTTGTCAATCTCCTTCAAGTTTCCATTCCTTCATCTTCATCATGTCTTTTTTAACTCCCAAGAATATCGACGGTGGCCGGAAACTTCAGCAAATAGATGGATTATTACGCTGGATCTAATTTAGCGAATGATGTTTTATTATGATATTTTGTGTTTTGTTATACCACAGATATGTGATTATACCTATCTGTGATGTTATACTATATTATCTGATGTTACGTTATGTTATTCCATATTGTATTATCGTTATATGTATATGTGGACCAGGCAATTTGAAAAAAATAAGCACGTTTTTGATGATGCTATCAATATTACGAACTGTAAGAATGCTAAGAGTATTTCAAGCACGACTTTGAATTCAACAGGCTTTTTCATCAGTTGCTACTGATGGGACTATAAGGACTATCCCACGCCCCGTATTGACATTTTCAATTAACCAGGGTTTGTATATTCGTGAGAAGAATAGAAGGTATTTAACATTTTTGTTACTGCGCGTTAAAAATAACGTTTTTCCCATGAAATTGGTGAATAAATGAGCCAAAAAGCTCTATCAACTATCAACACAAGATCCAAATAGAACATTCGGCAGTAGATCACAAAAACCTTAGCTCCCCTGACGCGGTGCAATGAACGGATAGTTGGACGCACGGCAAAACGTTAGTAAAGTAGTAGTAAATTTTTGAAAAAGTTTGTAGCGTTAGTTAGCACTTAGAAATTGATGTTCTAATATGTCAATACGCAGTGTGTTCCGGCACCACTGCTAACTTTAGTATTGTTATGACCACGAAGTAGGTTAAATTGTTTTCAGGATTACAATAGTGTAATCAGGAAAATAATTGAGTATTGGATTATTGAGATATCTCGTGAGATATTCAACAAAATAATAGCATTTCTCATATTTTGAAAAAAAATGGAAAGCTGTTTAAATATTTTGAACACATAATAACCTTCCATTTAGTGAATATCAACTGCAAGTAAAAATTATAGAAAAAAGAAAATTTACTAAAACCACAAACAAAAGGATAAAAATAACAACAATAATTTTTTTATTTTTTATTCCGTTTTTTGTCTATGATATGTAGTTTTGTTAGTAATTAATTGAAAAAATCGTTTTAAAGATTGTTTCAAGAATTTCATTTGTATGAAATTTAGAATTGTAACAAGTGTTTGGCATTCTTTGCAATAAACAGACCATTCGATATCGATGACTTACCAAGTTTTCCTAGAAATTTTAAAGTCGGTTTAACGCCTGGGAGGTAGTTGAATATCATAGCATTCGCGTTCATTTGATTGCCCACATCAATCCGAATGGTATTTGGAATAAATATAATGGATATAAACAATGGTATTATATATAATACGACGGTACAGCATTAATATAACAACCATTATTTGTCGTGTTGAACTGTAACACGGTGTATTACATTATTATCCCAAATAATGAAGCAAATAATGAGGACCATTCAATCATAACGATTTACTAGTTTGCTAACCAATTGCTAAAATGCTAAGCTTAAAACATCTTTGATAAGAACAATGATAATAAAGAAATTTTAAAAAAACGAGTTTATGCATTTCTCAATTGTAAAAAAAATGTAGTAAATTTGTGATAGATATACAAATAAATAAACATTAACGACTTGCATATTGTCAACTTAATTGGTAAGGAGTGAATTAATTTGATCTAGTTAATTATGCAGTATACGGTCCACCTCACACCTGTCATATGTTATTATACTCATTTGGTGTGCTAATGTCTTCATTCATGTTAATCTTGAATTTAGAGCGATTTGGTAAGCAAATGCTATGTTGTCATATTTTAAAAATTTTTTATGACATTTTGTGGCAATTTTTAATCCAGAAGATTGTCGTACAGGGAGAAAATGCCGTACTAGTTTTAGGCACTAAGATTTCAGCTTGGGAAGGGTTTAGGTAAATAGTCCATATAGCTTGCTATTTTTAGGAGCAGAGAAAAATTTATTCTAGTTTATTTTAAAATCGGAACTGAAAGAGAAGGTCCAGTTCGTTTCATTATGTTTTTTGTTTTCATTTTATGAACAATTTATAAAAGTAGAAAATGTTATTTTTATTATTGTTTTACTGGGTTTGAATAATATGATATCTGATTATATCCGTCGTTTTCTGTAGAGTTTAATAGCATTATTTTTGTTATAAAAGGCCATATAGGTACACTGTCGTAGGGAAAAAAGGGGACAACAATTGTTCGTTGAATTTGCATTTTAATCATTTAAAAACAACTATCGTTTATCGTATGTAATGCTGGTTGCCTATAGCCGTCTATTAAAATTAAATCCTAAACACCTACCCCCTCTGCTAACTACCCACATAGACTCAACAGACTGATTTTACTCTTTACTGAATGAAAAGTATTTTATGAAATTTATTTACATGGCCTTGTTAACGGATTTACGAA